TGAGAAGTAGGAAAGAGAAAGACATATTTTAAATAGTATAAACAATGTGCAATTTGAAAAATTTATAGTGCTGTTCAGTAGACAGAAAGATAAAAAAAAAGTTAAATAGATTCATACTTGGAAAAAAGTCAGAGCAGAGCAGGGCAGAGAGAGAGAGATGGAGAGAAACAGTCAAGAGAGAGAGAGAGAGAGAGAGAGAGAGAGAGAGAGAGAGAGAGAAGGAGTGACAAGTAGAAAAGAGAAACAGATATTTTAAATAGTATAAACAACGCACAATTTAAAAATGTTATAGTGCAGTTCAGTAGATAGAAAGATAAAAAAATGTGTACCGAATTTTAATTCACCAAGCAAAGTTAGGCCTCTCGGACTTCTCTGCCACTTAACATGGCGTCTCTCTCTTTGTCTTTCTCTCTTTCAGCCTTAGACGCTTGTTCATATCCAGCCCGGAGGACCAAGATCGTTTTTATACACGAGACGAATAATTGACGTTTTCTTTGCCCATCTCTCTTTCTCTCTCTCTCTCTCTCTCTCTTGACTGCCTCTCTCCATCTCTCTTTCTCTCTCTCTCTATTTCTCTCTTCCCATTCTCTCTCTATTTCTCTCTTCCCATTCTCTCTCTCTCCCTCCCTCTCTCTCTCTCTCTCTCTCTCTCTCTCTCTTGACTGTCTCTCCCCATCTCTCTTTTCCCCCTCTCTCTCTGTCTTGTCTCTCTTGTTGTCGTTGAATGTATGTGTGGTCAGTATTTGACAATATTCTGCTACTTTAAAATAAAATAAAATTGTTAACCAAAAAATATTAAATTATTAATTAAATTAGTAAAATTAAAATTATTAAAACCACCAACAACCTTAGACGCTCGTTTATATCCAGCCCGGAGGTCTAAGTTCGTTTTTATTTACGAGACAAAGTCTAATAAATCTGTAGTAAATGTATACCTAGATTAAAATGTGGACAACTTATGTAGCACAACATGATTTTATGCGTAATTTTTGGTTCAGAAAGGATAAAAACTTTTTTCCTGGAGAAAAGGAAACGATGTCAGATTTCAGTTGATATTAAATGTTAACCCGTCAGTCAGAATTTCAATAAAATTGTTTTAATTTAGCGGTTTTCAAGTAAGGGATTATTTATTGTTGCAATCAATGTAATTACTACATTTCCTGCGAGTTGCAGAATTCATACAGTGTCAATTTAAAATGCATATTGCCACATTGTTTTTTATAAATGTTTTACAAGGATATTGACTTTTATCTTTATTGCCTAATTAAATGAGATGATGCGATCAGATTCGTTGATCTTTGGTTTCGCCGCCGGTTCTTGCGGTTCGTCCTTGGTCGGATACATTAGAAAAGAAACTCGTCCCATAAAAAAGAAACATCGTTCCCCCCCTCACAATATTTGCTTCTTTATAAATCTATCCTGTCTGATGCAAAACGATAATGATGATAGTGATGAAAGTACAGCAATTATTTGAAGCCATGACACAAACCGGATAACCAATTGAAAAAGGAAGTGATTTATTTTTAGATAAACCTTTGTAGAGCTTTAACCCAAAAAAAATATCACAGTTCATATAAACTACATTTAATCGAGAAAAGCGATTCGTTTTTATTACACACTGGAATTTTTGTTTATTTCTTATTTTGACTTGTGACCACTTTGATGACGAATCGTGAGAAAGTAAAGTTTGCTGATCATAATTTGGAATTTCCACTCACAAGGAGCATGTTCTGTTCTTAACACTGGTATAAACCCGCTGATGAATCACTCAATATGATAATGTGATAATAATTTACGGAAAAATATCTCAAAACTCCAACGTGGATTTATTCAAATTAATTGATCAAAATTGATTGCTCATAGTCGCAATTTTTGGAGGTTTCGACAATTGCCTTTAAAAACATCGCTATGTGGAACAATTTTAAAAAGAGCGACATGCGGATATGAAGTCCGGACAAGAAAATCTTTGTTAGTAAATAATCACGACTAGATCTTGTACGTGCAGTGTTTTTATGATATATACGATTTCTTTTATTTGCTATTCCTTTCCGCAAGCTTTATGCATAATTATAAACATATTTAATGCTTCTTCCTGACTAATCAGACCTAATACTAAGGTTCTTCCTGGTATTTCTTTAACAGAAATGAATTAGTGAATTTTATAAATATTTTTTAGCCAATTGAATGCTAAGAATAGATATGAATTTTTAATTTATATACAAGAATCAGGAGAAGACCATTGTGAATAATCAAGAAAAATCCAAGAAATAGGATAGGTACTCGGAATTAAGTTGGAAGTCAGTTAAAATACATATACAAATTATCTATGTATTAATTGGTTAACTATGTACTTCATTTTGGGAGAATCGTTATTGCCCAGAGGTTGATAAAAAACAAATGAAGGGAAGTCTTGATTTAGGAGGGGGGAGTGTGAGATGGTTGAACGAGGGCAGAAGTTAGGGAGAGAATGAGATTATGGAAGAGAGAGGTTTGGGAAGGAAGAACTTTCAAGAACGATAGTGTATGGAAGGAACAAAGTGATATAGAGGTGGAGTATGAGGTGAGTAAGAGAGAAAAGTAACAGAAAGAGATTTAGTGAGAGAGAAAGAGAGAGAGAGAGAGAGAGAGAGAGAGAGAAGAAGTGAGAAGTTAAGAGCAGAGACATAGGAAAGAGAGAGACGAGGAGTGAAAAGCAAAGAGGAGAGATAAATAAAGTAGATAGATAGATGGAGAGGAATGAGAGAGCAAGAGAAAGGGAGAGAGTGGGAGAAAAAGAGAAAGAGATATTTTAGATAGTATAAACAATGTACAATTTGAAAAAGTTATAGAAAGAGTCAAGAGAGAGAGAGAGAGAGAGAGAGAGAGAGAGAGAGAAGGAGTGACAAGTAGAAAAGAGAAACAGATATTTTAAATAGTATAAACAACGCACAATTTGAAAATGTTATAGTACAGTTTAGTAGACAGAAAGATAAATATATTTTTACCGAGTTTTATTTCACCAAGTAAATTAGGTCTCTTGGACTTCTCTGCCACTTAACATGGCGTCTCCCTCTTTGTCTTTCTCTCTTTGAGCCTTAGACGCTTGCTCATATCCAGCCCGGAGGACCAAGATCGTTTTTATTCACGAGACGAATAATTGACGTTTTCTATCCCCATCTCTCTTTCTCTATCTCTCTCTCTATCTCTATTTCTCTCTTGACTGTCTCTCTCCATCTCTCTTTTCCCCCTCTCACTCTGTGTCTTATCTCTCATGTTGTCGTTGAACGTATGTATGGGCAGTATTTGACAAAATTCTGCTACTTTAAAATAAAACCAAATTAATTCAGTCATTCTCCCACTTTGAACCTTAGACGCTTGTTTAGTGATTGATTTAGTAAGTGAGTGAGAGAGAGAGAGAGAGAGAGAGAGAGAGAGTGAGAGAGAGAGTGTGTGTGAGNGAGAGAGAGAGAGAGAGAGAGAGAGAGAGAGAGAGAGAGAGAGAGAGAGAGAGGGAGAGAGTGAAATATGTTAGGAATGTGAACTGGAGATTTTGATTTCATAAGCGATTTATTTTTACAAATCTCGCAAAATGAGGTCAATTTGACCTTTCTAACACTCAAAGAGAAACAAATATTTTACAATTTGAACTTACATACATGCCCTTCAAGATGATTGTTTGTATACAATAATAAACAGTAGAAAATTTAAACTGAATGTGGAAACTGATTGATTAATTGATAGATAGATGGAAAGATAGATAGATAGGTAGGTAGATAGATAGAGAAAGAGAGAGAGAGAGAGAGAGAGAGAGGAGGGAGGGAGAGAGAAAGAAAAAAGAGAAGGAGGGAGAGAGAGAAAATAAGAGAAATGGACAGATAGACAGTGGAGAGAGGGTGACAGACAACAGACGAAGAGAATGAATAAATGAATATCGTTTTATTATAAAATCTCGCAAATTTAGGCCGCGTACGGTCTCTCTTACAATCAACGCAAATAAGGGAAGGCGAGAGTGGGTGAGAAGGAGGGAGGGGGAGAGAAATAGGTAGAGAAAGAAAGAGGAAAATAGGAAGAGACAGTGTGTGTGAGAGAGGGTTAGATAGATAAGAGACTGAGCTGGAGGGAGAGATATGTACAGAGAAAAGTAAAGAGCGATTGATAAAGGGAGCGTGAAATTGATAAGAGAACAAAGTGACACAAAGAAGAAAAATTAAGTAAGTGAGAGAGAGTGGGAGAAAAAAGAGTGAGGGAGACTGTCTGTGAGAGAGAGAGAGAGAGAGAGAGAGAGAGAGAAATAGGAAGAAGAGTGCGAGAGAGAGAGAGAGAAAAAGAAAGGGGGTGACAGTTAGATAAGGAAAGTGAACTAGAGAGAGATGGGGCGAGAAAGAGTTCTAGTGCAGTTTTGTTAAACAGAAAGTTAAATATATTAATACCGTTGGTTAAAAGGCAGAGAGAGAGAGAGAGAGAGAGAGAGAGAGAGAGAGAGAGAGCGAGAGAGAGAGAGCGAGAGAGAGAGAGAGAGGGAGAAATAGAAAGAGAAAAATAAAGATAAATAAATTTCCAATAAATCAATTGTTTTATTTGTAACAAGCAAGAAATATTTTTACAAACTTCACATAATTCTTGCATCTAAAAGGACGCCATATTTAGACGGATTTCTATATTTTGATAATTTCCTGAAAAAAATAAAATTTAAATGTAATATTTTTAGTTAGTAAAATTTTATTTATTGTTGTAGTCAAAAGTAAGATCCCTGCTATATATAATATTCAGATCGCAAACAATGTAAACATATTTATGTGGGCTTTGAGAGGATCCTGGAAAATTTGTAAACTGTAGAGAAAAAATATGCATGACCGCATTTGGACCTTTACCACGTATAAAATTGAAAAGCCAAGTCTGCAAAACTGACTACTAAGTTTGTTTCATAAAAGCCTTTTTCGTGATTTTTCTCTTGATAAGATTTTCAAAATTTACCAGTTTTTCAGTACAAATTAAAAGGGAAATCGTTCTTGGCCAGCCTAAAATGAGAGAAGAATGCAGGATAGCCTTCAGGGTCTTCTGCCATTCCCCACTTCGGGGCCAATCCTGCCCTCGCGATTGATGTCAGTCGTTCTGCTCAACACTCGTTCGTCGGCTGCTTCTGTGACTTGGAAAAGAAGGCCAATCGAAAACTACTAACTACTTAAAAAAATAAAAAAGGGTGAGCGTTTATATGCTTTTCTATTTAAAATTGATTCTGAACGTGTGATTATATTTTGACCATCTAACCCTCTTGAACCAAACTAGCCCTCTCTTGGTCTTACTCTTTCTTTCTATTTCTTTCTTCTTTATGCAACTTGATATTTCTTTTATTAATATTTTAATATCCTTAATATCCTTGTTTTCGCAGTCTTTTCTTTGATATTATTTTTTTGTATGGAATAAAGTGAGAAGTAGGTAAGCTATTTCTTTTCAATTAATTAATAATTGCTTAACTGTGCCACCCTCATTCCTTAACGTTCTGCCGCTCTTTTTTTCTCTTTCTCTCTTCTCTATTTCTTAACTCTCACGCTCCCTGCTGTGATTCTTCTAATTTATATCTTAATATCCTTATTGGTTTTGTTTTATAAATTTCGCTGTTTTTAATATTTCACTTTTCTTCACTGTCACAGAATTCTTATTTTTGTTTGTGTTAAAAGGGTAAATCATAATAATTTTTAATTGGTCGTATACTGTAATATAACTATTATACAATATAACTATTTCAATTTTTTTAAAATTTCGAAATCGAAGCACCGTTGATCTATTGCAACATCTGACCATTACATTGTCTCACTACTCTCTATCTCTCCTCTCTCTCACTCACTCTCGCTCTTACTCTACCACTCTCTATCAATATATCCATCTAACATATCTTTCTTTTTTTCGCTTAATCTTTCTGTCAATTTTTCTTCCAACTCATCACGTGCCCCATCCATCTATCTATAATTTTCTTTCTATTCCTCTTTTTCTCTCTCTTTCCTTTTATTCCCTTTTTTTAAATGATTACATACATATGTAAATTGACGACATGCACGTTCTTTTAGGTGATGAAACAATCTCATTTCCATTGGTATTGAATATTTAATGTAAATAAGACATTTGTGTCAGAAATTGTAAAAATAAACTAATTAATTTATCGTCATTGCAATCGGTAAATTTATAGCTAGAAGAATGGATTTTTATTTTTTGGGTTTTACATACAGGGCCGTATAAAAATTTGCATTAAATTGATTCAAATTGTTGTCAGTAAGTCTGCCAATAAAAGCTGTGTATAACACATAATAAAAAATAAGTTTATTAATACGACGGAAAATAAAATATAAGGATTACTACGATATTAATCTATAACTATGTATTTTTTTGTAGAGATTAAAAATTAAAAATCTTTTCTTTCCAAATATATAGATATATTGAAACACGCCTTCTCTCTCTCTCTCTCTCTCTCTCTCTCTCTCTCTCTCTCTCTCTCTCTNTCTCTCGTTTTAAGAAAAGTTTTATATATATATCTTATATATATCTTTATTTATATCTAACAAACCGTACTATAAGCATTGTTTATAATTAATCTTTTTATATAAGGTTTTGGTTGAAATGAAAAAGTTAGTGTCGATCTTCGGCTGGGTTCGAATCCTGCTCGTGACACTAACTTTTTCATTTCAAACAAAACCTTACATAAAAAGATTAATAATTTCAAAGAAGTAATTTGGTCAATAGACCACTATATTTAATGAATTGTTCATAATGCTGAAACTATCTTAGACGCTTGTTAATATCGAACCCGGAGGACCAAGATGGTTCGTATATACGAGACAAGGAGTTAAACGTTTTTCTGTCTCTCTCTCCCTATATCTATCTATCTCCTTCACTTCTCTCTTTCTCGCTCTATCTTTATCTATCTCTTTCTTCCAACAATGTCAATATATTAACTTTCTGTTTATTATAATTTTAAGTTTTTTTCTATATATTGAAAGAACTTAAAAACTTGCCATATCCAGCCCGGAGGGCCAAAAATGTTCGGACATACGAAATGAGTAGTTAGATCTTTCTTTGCCTACCAACATTATCAATATGCTTAAATTTCTGTCTACTAAAATGCACTATAACTTTTCAGAATTTACATAGTTTATGAAATTGAAAATAACCTTAAACACTCGTGACATCCAGCCCGGAGGACCAAGTTCTTTTGTAGATAGAAGGATGTAGTAGTTAAAGGTCTCTCTCTTTTATCCTTTTATTTCTCTCTTTCATTCACCCTCTTTATCTATCTGCTTTCTCGTTAATCGTAAGAGTTCGCGCCCTAAATTTGTGACATTTTTAAATAAAACGATATTAATGTATTCATTCATTATCTCTCCTCTCTCTTTCCCTCTCTNCTCTCTCTCTCTCTCTCTCTCTCTCTCTCTCTCTCTCTCTCTCTCTCTCTCTCTCTCTCTGGTTAAAGCTGAAAGGACCAAAATATTGTTGAAGATTTTAAACTTTAAAACAAAACGACAGGAAAATCCTCTAGTATGTTTGTGTGCGTATGTAGTTACCACATACATTCTCCAGTCGGCAAAATGCCGACTTTTACATAACATCGTCATCAACGGTTCACTTGCCAAAATTTTACCTTCCTAGTTTCTCTTCTAAATGTTAGAATTTTATTATTGTACTGTTAAATATTCATCGTGTTTAAAAGATAAAAAATCACACAGCTAGCGAGTCTGACTCATTCTTCAAAAACGTTCCTTTTAAAATGTACATGTATGGTCGGGTTTTTTTTCGCCGATTTTACAATTACCATGTATCATAATGACGATTATTATGTCCAATTATGGTCGGGAAACGTGAGAAAAAGCCAGAACTCACGATCATAAATATATGGTGTAAAATTAATGCCTCTTTGTCTTAAATTGACCATTCACTAAAACCACACACAACTAGAAAGGTAAAAAGATTATTTATGTATTTTTTATTTACAAAAAAATTTATGGCAAACTTGTTGGGAAATATATACGTTTTAAAATATTTAGAAAGGCTCATTTACCTACCATCAAGTTGTTATGCCTAAGTCTGGTTAATAATTTTGTTTATAATGTATTTTATTTATTTCTAATTAATGTAAATGAAAGAATGATGTAAAATACATTTATGTAGTAAATTTAATTTGTAATAAACTCGTTTAATAATCTTTTAAATATTTTTTGTTTTATCTATTTTGCTCGTAACGCATTTATTTTATAAATTAGAGTTTGTTTTGTGATAATCAGGTTATTTTTAAATATATTTATTTTTAATGTGTACACACGATTATTGCAAACTGATCACGACGATTTTCAACATTCCACCTTTCCCAATATTCTCATTGTTTTAAACCAATTAAGATAATTCAGTGTCTGAAGATTACAGGTTTTGTTTACTTTCTGAGGTTTCTCTTTAGCCGTCTTTAATTAGCCATTTAACAACATTCAGCATTGAATTTTAAAAACAAAGTTAAAGGCGTTATTTCACAACATAAAGGACAAATATAACAAACAGCTCGTTAATTAAAAATAAATAAATAACCCGAAAGTGTACTTAAAAAAAATTCACAATTTTCTTCAGGCAAAAGTTGAAATCAAATTTTGGATGATTCTGCTATATATTTATGAGATTTGTTTTAATTATTAATAAGTTGACTGGGTCTATTTCTTATGAAATGGGTTTTTAAGAAATAACTCATGTTTATTAAAGAAACTTTGATAAACGAAAATAAATCTTATATGTTAGACTGGGCATAGCAGGGGCTTTTAAAGCGATAAATTCACCGCCAAAATGCAAATTTTATAAACTTTCTTATTAAGTATTGCATTTTTTAAATTAACTAATTAATGACTATTTTGAAATGATGGAAATTGTCTAAGGCTGAGTGATATGTCTTGTTTTTTTCTTTTCCCCTCAACTAACATGCGTGCTCTTAAGCGTGTCTCCGACGGGAGACGAAATCTTTTCTTCTATCAAACCAAGTGGTGTGGTGCAATCAGCGATAATCAGTGGACATTACAATTTATAGCCGGAGACGTTTTCCCAACATCTTTCGAGAGTTTTATTGTTTTTTAATTTTTCACCGGGCTCTAGCCGATTGGCGCTAATCGATCGAATAATAAATTAATCCGGCGTTTAATGGGCCAATTTATTATCGCGCGCTGACGGATTAAAGCTCAGATTAAATACAAACATTGAGATCCGTGAAGGCTTTTATGTAATGTGTCTGTTCAACTGCAAACTATCCTACCTTTTCATGCGTTTATTTAGTTCTATTCTATGTAGTAACCCAGTCGTAATTAATTATTCATTATTAAAAATAAGCATTTTAAAAACAGAAAATTAGAAACCATCTTGTTAAATGGGGAGAGTTCTCCACATTATATCCGGGGTAATGAACTTGAAATTGTATAATATAGTATACACGAACGATCTTGGTCCTCCGGGCTGGATACAGACAAGCGTTTAAGGTTATTTTAAATAGTATAAACAATGCACAATTTGAAAAAGTTATAGTGCAGTTTGTTAGACAGAAAGTTAAATATATTAATACTGTTGGTTAAAAGGCAGAGAGAGATGGGTAGAGAGAGAAAGAAAGAGAGAGAGAGAGAGAGAGAGAGAGAGAGAGAGAGAGAGAGAAAGAGAGAGTTTTATTTCACCCCGCAAAGTTAGGTCTCTCGGACTTCTCTGCCACTTACGTGGCATCTCTCTCTCTCACTCTTTGAGCCTTAGACGCTTGTTCACATCCAGCCCGGAGGACCAAGATAGTTTTTATATACGAAACCAATAATTGACGTTTTCTCTCTCTCTCTCTCTCTCTCTCTCTCTCTCTCTCCCTTTCCCTCTACCCATCTGTCTCTCTGTTCTCTTTTGTTGTCGTGGAATGGAAGAATAGTCAGTATTTGACTTTTCTCTGCTATTATAAATAATACCAAATTCACTCAGCATTTCTCCTCTTTGAACCTTATTGTCAGTCTCCCTCTCTTTGAATCTTATCCATTTGTTTTTATCCAGCCCGGAGGACCAAGATGGTTTTTGTATACCAGACTAGTAAACCTATCTCTTTCTCTTTCTTTTTTTGTTTCTTTCTTTCCGTCAACAATGTCAGAATATTCAACTTTTTGACTATCCAATTGCGCTCTAACATTTTATAATTGGGCATTGCTTATATTTTTGAGTTTAAATTTAAGAAGGTAGTTGAGATTGTCAACCCTTTTAATGACTAACAAATTATGTGAATAATAGTTGGAATAATGATCTAATTAAGATGTCGATACCGTATCTTTCAACATACCAAAAATCTCCTTTTCTTGCCCAACGTGACCACTAAATTTTGAAACTCCGATTATTTTTATATTAGCCTATTAGTCACAGTGAAATTGCATTAAGTTCCATCTGGTTATAATCCACGGTATAGTCTGGAGATTATTTTTGTTTTGGTTGACATTTTGCAAGGACAGAAACTTGGGTGCAACTACTGGTTAATAACTTCTGTGCAAAAGATACATTTCTTACATAATTTGTAGCGTTGGAAATTGGATTCTTCTTGAAGAAAAAAAAAATCTGCAACCAACAGCCTAATGCACCGAAGTTCGAGAAGACATTTTTTATTTCATTTTTACTAAAGCCATCAAGGATAAGTTGGCTTAGATAATAGGATAGCATTCTTTTCTTCCGGCTTTGGCAAGGTCTCACACTTCGTTGATGAGCCGGCGATAATTGTTGCACTTGGGCTGGAACGTGCTGCCTCGACTACCGGAGATAACGCCTTATTCAAATTACACGAAAAATAGGATTAAATAAGTTGAGTGTTACTTCGAAAAATATTCATTGTATTTTCTCGCTGGCAGGCATCAAAAAATGACGCAAGTTCATACAGAAGTGTCGGGTCAAGGAAGAATCACGGCGTCTTATGTGAAACTATGTGCTTTTGAAATAATTGATCAAATCTTGAGCGACGGCCTTTAAGCTCTTGGTCAATTATATTTACATGTGCAATGTCGCCTGAGTCAATATCAAGCCTGGAAGGTGAAAAAAAATGTTGATTTTTCAACTTCGTACTGTGTTACACAATGTCTACTTCGGGAAATTGTTATAAATAAAAACATGTATTTTCATTAAGCAATCCCATGGTATTAAATCCATAATGCTATCGTCAGCTTATTTTTATTTATTCAAAATATCTATTTACTTCTATTCTAACATTTATCTTTCCGTCTTCATCTACAATCGGGTTCAAACAAGATTAGTCAAAAACCAACTTTTTCAAGATTTTAAAGTTTAGACATTTGGTACAAATTCAGTTTTTGTAGCTATTTATTATTGATTTGGAGAATATCAAATTAAATATAATTGTCCTAGTAAATAGGTTTTTAATCTATTTAATTATATCAGGATTTTTTTATACTTATAACTTTTTTCCAGTGTAAATTAATCCTGTTTCCCGCCAAATTAACTCCATTTCGATTGGATTTAATGCTTTTTAATTTCAAATTAACCTTTTATGCATAAAATTTACTATTTTTAATTTCAAATTAACTTTTTTACATTAAATTGACGATTTTTAATTTCACATTAACCTATTTTCCATCAATTTGACCCTGTTTAATTTCAAATGAACTCTTTATTGCATTGAATTGATCCCTATTATCTTTTTTGCGTCAAATTAACATTTTTAATTTTAAATTAACCTTTTTTTGTCAAATTAACCTTTTTTTAATTTCAAATTAATCTTTACTGCCTCAAATTGACCCTTTTTAATTTCAAATTAACACTTTTTTATTTTAATTTCAATGAACTTTCTGACGTCTAATTACCTATTTTTTAAATTTAAATTTCACTTTTTTCATCAAATTGACCCTTTTTAATTTCTAATTAACCCCTTCTTGCATTGAATTGATCCTTTTTAATCTTTTTGCGTCAAATTAACCTTTTTTAATTTTAAATTAACCTTTTTTCGCCACATTAACCTTTTTTAAATTTTAAATTATTGTGTAGAGGTTAGTGACCGTTAATCGATAGTTATTCAGATGTCGTGAGATGCGGTCTGGTGTGATGTAGGTTTCAGAAAAACATTTTCTTTATCGAGCCAACGTTTCGATCTTTTATTGAGCCCTGAAGATCGAAACGTTGGCACGATAAAGAAAATGTTTTTCTGAAACCTACATCATACCCGACCGCATCTCACGACATCTGAATAACTTTCAAATTATTCTTTACTGCCTCAAATTGGCCCTTTTTAATTGCATCAAATTGACCCCTATTAATTTCAAATTAAAATTTTTTTAATTTTCAAATTAACTTTTTTTAATTTCAATTTCACTTTTTTGCAATAAATTTACTCTTTTTGACTGCAAATTATGACTTTTTTATTTTCAAATTAACCTTTTTTAATTTGTGTACTTTTTTAAATTTCAAATGCACTTTGTTTCCATCAAATCGACACTTTTAAACTTCAAATTAACACTTTATTTTCAAATTAACGTTTTTCTTATTTCAAATCAACTTTTATGGCATCAAATTCACGCTTTTTCTAGTTTCAAATTAACCTTTTTTAAATTTCAATTTCACTTTTTTGCAACAAATTTACCCTTTTTGACTTCAAATTATGACTTTTTTATTTTCAAATTAACCTGTTTTAATTTGTTTACTTTTTTAATTTCAAATGCACTTTGTTTGCATCTAATTGACCCTTTTACACTTCAAATTAACACTTTTTATTTTCAAATCAACGTTTTTCTTATTTCAAATCAGCTTTTATGGCATCAAATTGACGCTTTTTTTAAGTTTCAAATTAACCTTTTTTTTTAATTTCAAATGCTTTTTTTTGCTTCAAATTAACTCTTTTTTTTAAATTTCAATTTCACTTTTTTTGCAACAAATTTACCTTTTTGACTTCAAATTATCACTTTTTTTACTCTTCAAATTAACTTTTTTTTTTAAATTTCAAATCAACCTTTATTACATCAAATTGGCCTGTTTTAATTTCAAATTTAGCCCTTTTTATTTAGCCGTTTTTAACGTTAAAAAAAACCTTGCTGATGGTACAAAATGTAGCACTTAAAATATATTCCTGCAAGAAAAACAAGTTTTTCTTTGTCCTTGTTTTTCTTAAGCCACTATTTCTTGGTGACATGTATCTCACTTATTTATTAATTGGGTTAAAGACCACTCTTTTTGTTGTAGAGTGTTGTTATTATTATAATGGATGTTTATTGTCAATACCCAATCTTCAGTCAAAATTTTTAATTGTTTTTTACAATTAAGGTGAAGGAATCAACTACGTGTACATATGCAAGGTTAATTAGAACCAATCAAGCAAAATGAAACATAAAAGCACTGTCAACAGTTTACCAAAGTGTGTATCTCATTATAGCTAAATAAGGGGCTGCTGCTTGGTTTTCTATTCTATACACTAAGTTAAAAACTAAATTAGAACTAAGTTAAAGAATAACTGCAGAGTGAACAGCTAAAGGATATAAAACCGCGTCAACACCGGCAGAAGTAGGAGCAGTGCCTGTCAATTTATAGAGTAGAGAAAAAGTGACACTATACTAAGAAAAAAATACACAAAGGAAACAGGAAATTAATTAACTCTTAAATCAAGTTTTTATAAAATTAAGTTTTCCTTACATCGAAAATGTCAATCGATTGGCAAAATAGTTCAAAAGTTAAATTACATTATGGATATTTTCCAAATGTAGAGCAGAGAATAGACTTTAGTTGGGTTCAAAATAGTGCCAAATGCTAGATGTATGCAAAATGAATGACAATGGTGAGGTCAATAATAGACTTTTCGTCTTCCAAGATTCACAGAACAAAGAGAACACTTGAGGTCCTTCTTTCCACAATGATGGCCATTAATGTTAAATGATTTCATAGAAAAGAGGAAACATACAAAGCCTTCAAGCTGTTACTGTTGGAAAGTTTTATACCCAACATCATGGATAGTCTTTAATAAAATTATTTCTCTCTTAAGAAATCAAATATATAAATTACAGGATAAATTATTTATTGTATATTTATTATTAACTTAGTTATGAATAAGTGTAGCGAGTTGTTTCCTTTTACGCAGGACCAAACCTTTTTGCAATAAGTTTCAAGTTAGAAATTGAACAACACAAGGTGATTAACATACTGACCTCCTTCATAGATTTAAATTCTAATAAATGGCCGTGGTCTGCCGGTATGGGATCTACTCAGGGTCGGTGGGAAGGTGGATGGGACAGAAAACTTGTTTTTGACATATTTTAACTGAAGATGGGGTATCGACCATGAAATGTCTATTATAACGGGAATAACAAAAAACAAAAAAAAAAAAAATTGACTACCCCAACCAATAAATAAATTTATATAATATGTTGTTTGATTGGTCATAATTTTCATGTATAACATAAAGAACAATAAGACCTGTATGCATTAGTTTTTGTATTATATTAAAATGTTAAAATATTGCATCATTATAAGAAAATACATAAATTATTGTTTATTTAGAAATAGTGAGATGCGGTCTGGTGTGATGTAGGTTTCAGAAAAACATTTTCTTTATCATGCCAACGTTTCGATCTTTATTGAGATCATCTCCAGGGCTCAAAGCGTTTGTCTTCTGTGTAATTGTGCCATTCTTGCGTGTCATGTCGAGAGTGCCCGAAGACACGCAAGAATGGCACAATTACACAGAAGACAAACACTTTGAGCCCTGAAGATGATCTCAATAAAGATCGAAACGTTGGCACGATAAAGAAAATTTTTTTTTTAAATCTACATCACACCAGACCGCATCTCACGATTTCTAAATAAATATCGATTAACGGCACTATTCACCACACATAAATTATTGTGTTACTTTATTATTTTATTATTTACTGAACAAAGAAATTTATAATTTTCCAGGTGTGCACTGTTTGGAAAAATCACCGCAATATACCAGATTTATATTGAATAATCAACAGCCAGATTCAGAAATGTTTACAGTGTCGGTAACTTTATTACTACTGTTTTGTTATTCCACTGCACAAGAAGTTGAAAATCAAGGTTGGTAATTTGCCTTTTCTTTATTTGATTCTCATTTCCATTGGTTTTTAATAATTTGGTCTTTTTAAGTACACACACAGTCTGTATCAAAATTGTGTATTTATTGAAATAGATTATTTATCTGTTGAATAAATTGGGAAGAGAGGGATTGGGAAGCCCGCTGCTGGGCTGGGGCTTTTGGGGGTTCTGGAGGATTTTGATCCCAAGCCCATTACTCAGCTCCTTGATAAATATATGAACTGCACGGAAAGAAAAAGAAAAAAATTATATATGTTAATAATAAATATTGCACTTATGTCTATATCCTTCTTAGATACAAATGCAGAGATAATTTTTTTTTTTATTACATTTATTTTGTATTTACAACTACAAGTGATGTATTAAGTAAATATGTTCGTATATGTTGAATTATCATTTGACGCTCTTGTAGGAGAAGTTGCCCAGTGGTAACACTCCTTCACACTGATATCTTGTTCAGTCTTCACACAATAAGAAGGGCTCGGGGCCAGTTTCGCTTCAATCGTCTTGGAGGATTTTCAGGTAGGGTTGGAAGTGATAAATTTGAATAGATTACTGTGTGTGTTCAGTGATTGATGAAATTTTTTATATCGGGTTTTGATGAGTTCATGGACAAACGGGATGTGTAGGTCTTTATAGATAGTGCAATTTGAAACATAAAAAGGAGCATTTATAATTTGACGGAGAATTTTAGATTAGATTGATTGGAGATGCTGGGAATTGGAATCCTTGGTTGAGCCCCACACTTCACAACCGTACGCCTAGAGAGGTCTAATCATTGTCTTGTAAATTAAAAGTTTATTTTCAAGTCTAATTTTGATCGTGAGTCGAGTAGTCTTTTTAACAATTTATAACGTTGGTTTGTTTTCTGTCTTTTCCGTCTTGTATGGGGATTCCAAGTCAGTCGTTTATCCATGAAAAGTTCAAGATAACGCACAAGGTCAGTGGTAGGCAATGGAATTCCATTTACACTCACCGCAGGACTGACATTTTTACATAAGGTAAAATAGATCTGTATGCTTTTTGTTAGGTTTACCTTTATTCTCCACTTTGTGAACCATCCTGTTAATTCATTCAGGTGTTGTTGTAAGTGTTGAGTGTTAATTGAGGGGTCCGAATTGCTTCTAAGAATCGCTGTATCATCAGCGAATGTGTGTGTCGAAATGTGAATGTGTGTAGGAATATCTGCAGTGTATATGGAAAATAGAAAAGGGCCAAGTATGCTTCCCTGAGGAACCTGCCCTTATGCGTGCAGAGATAAGAAATAAAAAATTCTTAATTTTTAATAATTGGTTTAAATTTGTGTATTATATTAGAAACTGATTAGAAGGTAATTCTTTCAGAGCTAACATCTCCAGATACTGTGACAAATACATTAATGGATACACGATATAACATAACAGAAGTTGTTGACAACAACGACTCGATTATTGAGGTCAATATTTTTTTTTCAGTACAAAAATAAGCTAATTAGTTTGTTACATAATTATTGCATTTTGAAATGTAAACAGATAAAACAGATGGAAGAAACTATACCAGAAACTACACCAGAAACAGCACCAATTTTCACAACGGTGCAAAGCACAACACAAGAGGAAAAGACAACAATACTCTTCTCTAATTTTTACACCCTCCCGCCAGAAAGACCGGAACAGATTGAAGAATATGACCAAGAATATGAAAAAGAGACAAATCGTTATTTGGAAGACCACCCGTGCAAAAGGAATTGTTTGAATGCCACCAGTACGGTCTGCAACTACCGTTTTGTGCTGGAGCATTACCACACGATGAGCAAAGCTTGTCATAATTGTCCGCATAATTTGTCTCATTGTTACTTCAAAGACTGTGTGGCCGGTGATGGAGTCGAGAGGACTATTTTGACTATCAATAGAAAATTTCCTGGACCCCTCATTGAGGTTGGTTAAATTGTTTTGTATATTGGATAAATTGTTTAATTGTTAATTGTTAGGTGTGTGAAGGAGATGAAGTTATTGTTGATGTTGAAAACCATCTGAAAGACGGCACGACTTCAATTCATTGGCATGGTATACAACAGAAATACACTCCTTACATGGACGGTGTTCCTTTTGTAACTCAATGTCCTATCATGCCGATGACTACATTCAGATATCAGATCAGACCGAATCCAGGGACACATTTTTGGCATTCGCACATTGGTACAGTTTCAATAAAAATTCAAAGAAAAAGTGAACTCATGGGGTTTTGAACGCAGGTTTACAGCGCGGTGAGGGTGTTTATGGGCCGTTGATTGTTAAAAAGAGATCTGACATTTATGCTCCTTTGTACGACATGGATTTGAGCGAGCATATCATCGTTGTTCAAGACTGGATACACAAACCTGGGGAAAGTGCTTTTGCTAAGCATTACCATTCAAACGGAAAGAACAAAGCTGACACTTTACTCGTATGTCATTTATATCAGTTCATCATGCAATAATTAATTTTGTCTTGGTATAAATAAATGGATATAAACAACATTTTAATTAAATTTTGAAACATTTTTTGAATATATTTGATTATTTGGTCTTATTTTCTAGATAAATGGGCGTGGTCAATTTCAAGAATTTGTTGATGACAATGGAAGACTGGTTTATACACCATTTTCCAGTTTTACAGTGAAAAAGGTAAGGAAACTTAATTCAGACTTACAAATTATATTAAAATATTATTTAAATAGATAAATAAAAATGTCTAACATCTATATTTTATAAATTTAATATTTCTTTAAAATTTGATAATTTATGTATATAATGTAATTCGTTTTTAAAATTAAAATTCGACCAAAGCTAAGAATATAATATTAATGAATGGAATAACAAACCAGCAATAAGCAAGGCCAGTATGCGCCACTTCCGTACTTAGTTCGGCAAAGAAACTTGAGAGTTCAATTTGCACTGTTACTAGATGGCACTGTGGGAACAAATATCAGGAAAAAAAATCATCAGGCAATACATGATTTTTTTTTTTTTTTTTTTGAGGAGCCAGGAGGGCTTGATTATGTCTTCTATACAATATTTGTGTTAACACGAGTATTTATTATCATGAATGTATGAAATGAGTTGAAACTGCCCTGGTTTTGTCAACACCACAAGAGTGTTAGGCTATAAAATAGATATCTATTCCGTTATTAACCTAATTTCTGTCAATGTGTAAACTTATTGTCTATTTTGTATAATTAATGATTAAATTTTGTTAATACTGATCTCATAAGTTGATGAGCCTACTGGAAATTTACTTACTTAATTATCAAAAATAATTACCATGTAATAATGTTATTTTTCACAAAATATATATTACCTATAAAAACATTTTTTAAATTGTTTACAGGGTCTTAAATATAGGTTCAGGCTAATAAATTCAGGAATATTGAACTGCCCTATTGAGATGAAAATTGATAATCATACTATTTTGGCTATCAGCAGTGACGGTCAAGATATACAACTTGTCAAAGGTAAACAACGACTAAAGAAGTTTATTCTAAATCAAATTTATCAATATTGATCCCGATTTTCCAGTCGATTCATTAATATCATATGCTGGCGAAAGATGGGATTTTATTCTAGAAGCCAGCGCTCCAGTTGGTAAGATCTCATTCAATCTTTGAAACTTTATTCAATAACTTGTATATAACAATAAATTAATATTTTCTTGTAGGAAATTATTGGATTAGATTCAGGGGATTGATGGACTGCGATGAAAGATTTAAAGCAGCTCATTCTGCTAGCATATTGCACTACGAAGATGCGAATTTGAAAAAACCCTCAGAAACCTTGAGCTACGAAGCAGCTAAAGGGCAGGGAAAGGTTTGTATTAGTTTTAAATAAATAAATCCTTAATATTGTACTTAGTTTTTTAAATTAATTAATTTTTTTAATAATGAACGGTTTATGGAATCATGTAAAAATTACTGACACCGTTTTACAGTATTTGATAACTGTTTGAAATGTTTTCTTTTGTCTTTTGGTTAGATAAAATAAATGTTAATATTAATATATAACAAATTTTTTAAAATTTAAATGAAAAAATTAAAAATTTGCATTTATTTTCTGTTACTCCTAGAATTTAATTACAGCATATTTGATTATGTAGACGATTATTTTGTACTTTTCTACCTTATGATTTATTAAAATTGTAGGTTTTGAATCCATTTAATGTAGACTGTAAAGGACTTCTTTGCATGAACAACCTTTTTAAAAGCAAATTTTTGGAAAGGAAAGATGTCAACAAGGAGCCAGACCAAAAGTTTATTTTTTCCTATGATTTCCACCCTTTGGACAATCCGAAGTACCATAAAACACCAGAATATGGTTTTTCCAAAGGTAAATTTCTGATTTTTGTTATATAGAAAATATATCATGAATATTTTAAATAATCAATTTCCTTTTGAAAATAGTGAAAACTGATCGTGCTGTTTACACGCCACAACTGAATCATATATCTCTTAGCTTACCGTCGTTTCCCCTTCTCAGTCAATATTATGATATTAAACCAGAGATGCTGTGTGAAAATCAACTTACTTTTAATTGTAACAGCGAATATTGTGAATGCACAAATGTTGTTAACGTCAACTTAGGCGACTTGGTTGAAGTTATATTAATTGATCTAGGTAAGTCTTTTTTACTCTATTATGGCACTTTTATAATAACAATTATAATTATGCAGGTGTCACATACGATGCAAATCATCCATTTCACCTGCATGGCCACTACTTTGATATAGTGGCTGTTGAAAAAGTAGGGAAAAACACGACTGTTCAGCAAATAGAAGAGTTGGATGCAAAAGGCATGATAAAAAGGAATTTGATTAATCCTGTCACAAAAGATACAGTGAACGTTCCAGACGGCGGATACACCATAATCAGATTCTACGCAGACAACCCAGGTAATAATAACTGAAATTATTGGTTCAAATTCATTTGGTGAATAATTTGTCATAAATAGGCTATTGGCTGTTTCATTGCCACTTGGAATGGCATTCTGAACTTGGAATGGGGCTTGTCTTCAAAGTTGGACAACACTCGGAGTTTCCGCCAGTGCCCAGAGGTTTTCCAAAATGTGGAAACTATATGCCGTCAGAGGAAATGTCAAATAACCCCGAAACCTCAGAAAATGAGGTCATTTATGAAATCCATGCAAATGAGATTCCTCGATTTGTAAAAAATACGTCTTTTGACAATACTCAAAATATTTTTACGAAATGGTGGCGAAGAAATAGTTCAACTTTGGTGAAACAGTCCGTTTTAAATGTGATATCTTTGTTATTAATTTCTCTTACATTTTATTGAGAAACTGAATCAGAAAGTCATTTGAATATCAAATTATCTGTGGTAATAACTTCCTACATAGAAAAGAAATCCTTTTCATCATTTAGAAATAAATTGTTACCCTATGTTAAATTCCAAAGGATTTAAATAATTGGAATTGATATAATTAAAAACTGTCTGTGATATTTATGCAATATTTTTAACAATAAATATGTTTAAAACATATAAATTTGTAAATAATAGACATATAAAGTTTAGAGACAATTTTGTTATAATAAAACTTTATTTTATTTTTCCCTGGCTGGTTTTCAGCTAGGGCTACAGGGAGGATCCTCACATTTTATCTATCTTGTTTTTGTTTTTTTATTACCCATATCTTTCATGTTTAACCATTCCACATGTGATTAAAATATCCTAAGTCAAGAACTTCACATTCATTCATGCATGCTGTTTGAAAGGTTATATAACCTAAGTTTTGCAGGTTTCAGCAGTTCTCGAACACCACTCACCACCACTCCTTCAACTACGCTAAAATATATATGACCTGAACATTCAGTTGGGAGCGCTGCAAGGTAATTTTTCAACTTATGCCCTCCCTTCATTTACGCTAATAAATACATTCACATACAGTACAAATTATGTGTTATCTACTCTAATTTATCCAATTGGTTCAACAGTTCTGTGATTACTCAATATTCCACACAGACCATTTTCAAACACACTTAACCTCTTACACAAATAAATACATTCATACAATTGGGTAGTCACCAGGGTTTTTGATATTATGCCAGCGATTACGCCTTTATCACACAGCATACATAGAAAATTAAATAACCTAGACTACTTTGGTGTGTTTGTGGGTTCTTGATCACAAACATACGAAAACATATTAATAAATACATTCACTCATTTTAAGGATATTATTTCAATGTAAGAAAGGGCTATAAGCAACTATATAATTTTAACTTGTTCAGGTATTGAATCAATTTCTTCTTATAACTATTGTACCTTAAAAGGCGGGCCACACCTCATTCTTTGTGGCGTTAATTCCTCTGACACTGTTATATGAACTTTACAGATACTAGTATGCTGTGTAAAGGGCATCTCCATGGTCTTTCTTTGGTAAGGGATATGTCAGCCTGGTGTGGCCTATCCACAGGCTAGCCAATGTGATTCTTTCTTTTTATCCCATTTCCTACATAAAAATTTATAGTGTTACTTTTCAAGAAGGAAAATAAAATAAAGAGAGGAGTGTAATATAAAAACTTTTAAGAATATAAGGTAAAAAGCAGAAGCATGAATGTATTAAAAAAGTTAATTGTTTAATAGCCAAGGCGTGAATTGGACTTTCTTCTTAATAATTTTCTAATTTAATTCTTAACTCACTTCTAATTATTAAAGAAATTTTTCATACCTGCAATAAAAATCTGATCGGTTATTATATTATAATTATTACCAAACATTAATAAATGGGTTACTGAAATTTACCTATTAAGATTTTACTGTGCAAACAAATGCGGGCGTTATTGCTTATAAACTATGTAAAAAGAGATTTGTCAACTTCCATAAACATTTTGACAAATTAAAAACGTCTTGTTTTTATTATTATTAAAGAAAGTAATAATAATAAAAGAAAGACATGTGACAAGATTGTAAATAATTGTGCAGTTTCGTTCTTTCTCTGATAATCTGCTCCAATTCCCCTTAGAAATAGTTGGGCTGAAAATTGTCACAAAACTTTCACATATTTCTCATAATTTGTAAGATCTACTGAAAAATTGAACATTTCTACCCAAGTACTTGTGTACGGCAGCGAATCTTTGGGTCTCATATTTTTCGAAGTAACTGGTGTATAACGTGAGGTGCCGACAATGACCCTAGTAGTTAGCCGGCCGAAAAAAAAGAAAAAAAAAGTGTATTTCTGTATACAACATATACAGGGTGAGTCAATTTTGGACGCACCATTTGTCTAATTTGTCCTTTCCCTATGTTAAAAGAAAGGTGAGTCAGATTTCGATACCATAGGAAAAATGTATTTTTTTATATTGAAAAAAGGTATACAAGGAGAGGTAATTTATCAAAAAACCAAGCAAAAAAACAACTTGGCCTTATGAAATAATTTATAGCCTTCCATTATGGAAAGCAGTATTTTCTCCAAGTCTTTCTTCCTTTAAAACTTGAAGCTTATATTTTTTTGTCTATAGTTCAAGATCACAGTCGAAACCGGGCGGTCCGCGTTACACCATAACTTGCGAACTTTGCCCAATCGGCCGAGAATGATAAAACGAAAGTTGAAGGTCTTGGAAATCGACGCCCCCAAAGGAATTTTATAAATCAAAAGTGTGCCAGTTTTAACTCCGACCAAATTGGACGCTTTAAATTGTAGATTTTGGTATTTTTAAAAAGCGTGATCGATTTAACGGAACCTCTTGCAAATTCAGGCAAAAACTTACACACGACGTAATGTATTTTTTTATTGCACAAAGGCGATTTCAACTGATCTTCGTGTCTGAACGCCTTACAGTGTGATCAGTACTAATAATCTCCGGTCATTTATATAATAGCAGCGTACACTCAGCTACCGGGGTCATCTTTGACACGAAACTGAATTGGAATGCACATATAAAACGATTAAAAACAAAATATAATGCATACAATTCCCTTACTAAAAATACAATCGGCCTCCTCGACACAATACAGATTACGGGATTAGGTTGATCACAGGCATCCGGAGCAGTACCTCGTACATCTTTCATGCAGATGCTGGAGAAATGCCTTTAAGTTTCAAGACGTGACTTTCTTGATTTGAAGTTTTTTGCTAAAATCACTTCTTCTAAGTCACACCGACTAAATCTCATTCTGGTCCGATCTTATTCGTTTTATTTTTTAATGACGTCGACTCTGCTCTCATTAATTCTTCATTTTCATTGTTAGCAGACGATTTGAAAATTTATCGCCCTGTCGAATCGTTGAATGATTGTATTCTCTTGCAAAATGACTTGAGTCGCTTTTGGTTTTGGTTTAAGCTTAATAGTTTGAAATTAAACGAAAATAAATGTAAGATTTTGAAGTTTAGCAAGAAAAAAATAATTCACGATTACGACCAATTTTTATAGTATCGATACGTTTATAGTATCGAAGGTTATCACATTGACGAGGTAGATGCTATCTCGGATCTCGGGGTTATTTTTAATAAGAATTGTGGTTTTCGGGACCGTATCCATGCCATTAGAAATAAATCCTTTAAAAATTTAGGATTCGTACTCAGGCAAACTGGTGACTTTAAGAACCCTTTTGCAATAAAATTACTCTCTCAATCTCTGGTGCGCAGTCACCTAGAGTATGCCAGTGTTGTTTGGTCGCCGAGTTCTTTAGATGGGTCTTACATGATAGAAAGGGTACAGAGAAAGGCCATGAAATACCTGTATTACAAATTATACAATCACAGGAACTACCATCACTGCTCCTATGAAGCCAGACTTGCTCTCGTAGGCCTGGATTCTCTGGAGGATAGAAGAATTTTGGCTTCCGTTGTGTTTCTGTGGAAGATCCTAAATAATTTTATTGATTCCCCGGAGATATTATCTTGTATTGGCTTTAGGGTTCCTCAGCGTCAACTACGGACCCATGAATTGTTTGGTCCTTCACGGCACAGGACCAAATACGGGTTACAGTCTTCAATCTCCACAGCTGTGCATTACTTAAATAAATTCGCTATCAGTGCGGACCCCTTCTCCTCGTCTCTTTAGATCTTTAAAAAATATTAAACGCGCTTTAAAATGTAATTGAGGGTTTATTTATTACTTTTGTTGTGCTATTTATTAATCTATTTAATATTGTTTTTTTGTTAAAAGTGTAAGCGCTTCTTTGCTGTTATTTTTACTGCTATTATTTTTGTATCCTTTTTTAGTGTTTCATATCATAATGATTGTTTTGTTGTGTTGCTTGACTGTCCTATGCTTGGGTACCTGACCTGTTTGGACTGTAAATAAAAAAAATAAAATAAAATAAATCGTCTATTTCCGGGGACTAGTCTGATATCTGTCAACTCATTACTTAATCCTATACGAAAAACCTTCCGCTCCGTATGTACATGGTTAGGGATGGTATATAATCTTGTACGAATTACAAATACCCTTACCTCCTGTACAAAAAGAATCAGTGGCTCCCATCTCTCCCTGGACATCTCCCAAACCGAAAATTTGGTATTCTCTTGGAAAATATCGCAAAGCCCTTACACCTTTTCATGTATATCAGGAGTTTTTGAAAATAAAAAACGCACTTCCACAAGCGGCATTTTTCTATACGGACGGATCAAGGAAGCTACAGGGGCGTGGGAGCTGCGTCTATTGCGGCCTTAGCAAATTTCTCTTTGCATCATTTCTGTAGCAACTATAGCGCCGAGCTGAAAACAATACCTAAGTCTCTAAATTTCATGTGTTTGGATAACAATATGTTTTGCTCTGATGCGGAATCTGCCTTACATGCCTTGTAACACCCCTATTCAGATGATCCCAATGTGCAGGAGGTACTGGGGAGTCTCCAACTGCAGGGAAGGAGAGTATATTTCGTCTGGGTTCCCGGACATGTAAATATTAAGGGAAACCGTTTGGCAGATAAAGCTGCAAAAGAAGCAGCCATTACAGGCCTTCAAATCAGGACGTCCCAAAGGGGGATATGACTGCAGTTTACAGCTCAAAAGTTAAGGTTCAATGGAAACAGGTCTGGCCTAATATACTCCGGGTAGATGCATGGCCAACTTCATTTAGAATTAGTAGAAAGGAAGAAGTGGTTCTTGCACGGTTGAGGATGGTTAGGGATGGTGCGAATATATAAAAGCAGCCTAACACTAATGTATATACCACAGACATGGCATAGGGCAAAGGTAGTGTTCGTACCGAAAATAGGGAAAAGAGACCGTACACTACCCAAACATCCTTTTTACAGAAAGCCCTAGAAAAGTTGATAGACAACCATATAAGAACGACAGCGGTGGTAGACAAACCACTAAATCACTGTCAACATGCATACATAGCAGGAAGATGGACAGAAACTGCTCCGTATCAGTTAACTATTGATCTAAGGGAAACAGTAGAAACAAGGGAAACAGCAATCTGCGCGTTCCTCGATATTGAAGGAGCCTTTGACAATGCATCTCATGCATCCATGATGGTCTCCCTAGAGAAAAAAAGAAAAAGTCACGTAGACCAGACCACATCATGATGGATTGG